AGATGAGGTTAATGAGAATGAATGTCCCAAACCTTTTTTTTTTCACAAGAAGATTAATTAGAGAGGATAAAAAGGTAGTGAATTAACTACGGGATGTAGAGGCCGCCCAATACCTTACTCTGGTAAAGAACCAGCCCACCACAACTAAAAACGTGTGGATGTTACAGCAGCGACATCCCCCCCCCACCCCTCCACTCCCGGCCCACAAACTCGAACCATTTTCCGTTGATTCAGCTGGGTTGCCAAATTTACTTTCAAGTGGTTAACATATAGTTCATTACATTAGGGAAGAGAGTGTAAAGAAAGAGGAGGGAAAGGAGAAGATAATAAGAGACTTTCTTCCTCCCTTTCATTCTAGGGTGGAGACAGGAAAAAGAGGAAGAACTGTCTCTCCCTGCTTTCTCTTCTACTTTTTCTCTCTCAAGTGAGATTTGGGAAGAGAGGAAAGAGGTTGGTTAAGTGAGAAAGTTGTGATTGTGTTACATGATTATCCTGTTCCTCGACTTTCTTATCTGTTTTATAGAAGAGTCATCTTATTCCCAGTGATAACATATTCAGATAATGGAGATTACATTTAAGATTAAAAATAATTACACAGATTTGAAAATGAAATAACGGTAAAAAATATTAATACATAAGTGAAACCACAGTCAGTACATTAGCCACAGTCAGTACATGAGCCACAGTCAGTACATGAGACACAGTCAGTACATGAGGGTTGAGGCACACGTGCTCATTGTAGTGGATGAGGATGTACAGTGTACAGCGTACAGGTTGACAGTTGGGAAATCAATTACTTATTTTTCACCAACAAACTGATCTTATGTGATTTTTTATGAGTAAATAAACAGAAGAGAAAAAGACTATGTTAATCTACACCACGAAGATGCCGTAAAACCAGCTTTTTGAAGTGAGACATTGTATGAGTATGGAAACACAGAAGAAGGCAAAGCATTCCACAGTTTGGCTGTGTGAGGAAAGAAGGATGTACTATAACGGGTTATTCTAGTGTGACCGACATCCTCAACTGATGTCACAGCGGTTGCTGGAGGATCGGCTTCTTTCACATTTCATTTTTCCAACATTTGCGGCCTGAGAAGTAGCTAACCACTAATGGCAAAGAAAAAAGCGAGATGGATTGGGAACGCCAACGTATACGTGCGCATTCAACATAAGAACATAAGAATGGAGGAAACTGCAGCGGGCCTCTTGGCCCATACAGGACAGTCCCATTTACACCCAACCCCTTATCGCTCATATATCCGTCCAACCTATGTTTGAAACTACCCAGCGTATTCGAGTTAATGATGATGTTTGGTAACTTGTTCCACTCATCCAACTCTATTTCCAAACCAGTGTTTACCTATTTCGTGCCTAAATCTAAATTTGTCTAATTTAAAACCATTGTTACGAGTTCGCTCCTGGTTGGATAGTTTGAGTACCTTTGATATATATATATATATATATATATATATATATATATATATATATATATATATATATATATATATATATATATATATATATATATATTCATATAATATATATACATATAATATTTAATTTTAATAAATGGAACAATAGAATTAGCTAACCACTAATGGTAAAGAAAAAAAGCGAGACATTGGGACCGCCAACGTTTGTAATTGCGTACATGTGAAAACATATCCTCATTTCTCTACATAAGAATATGATAGCAACAATTATTACTGTTTATATATGTTTTAAATAATACTTACTTAGGTAAAACAAAAATTCTACTCACCAATGGTGGTAAAGTCTTAAACATAAGGACAGCCAATGTTGTGCGAGTTTTTACTCAGATGAGTAAGTCATCAGGTTCAACTCTAGCTGAAGCTGTAGCTTTCCAAAAAGATATTATGGCTGTTGCCGAGTTACTGAACCTGAAGTTGTTGCTGAAGCTGCTTATGATGCTGAATTTGATGGTGTAGCTGAAGTTGGTGGCTTAGGCCTTCGAATAATGAAGCAGTCGAAAGAACCTTGCACAGCTGCCTTCTTTTCTCATATACTGTACATGTTTATGTAGAGGTCATATGCGTTTTTCACGTAACTGTTAACTTTAATGCTTCTTTCTGTTAATGGATCCACTTCAGAAAATATGTTCATTGCTTGCTCCATATAATATCCACAAAACTCTCACCTTTTCATATAGTTTTAACACATCTAGTTTTTCTACTAAGCTTATATACACTTCCTTTTAGCTTTTGAACCAGCACTAACACTTGCTCATGTTGAATAGGGATGCAAAAATGCCGCAAGAAACCTGAAAGTTTTTCTCCTTTTCCTGTTCAGATGCGTGAAAACAAGAGGCCCGCCAGCTGCAACTGTTTAAACTAGTAAATTGGCTGGAGTCACCACTGAACAGTGACCACTCACAAGCCAGGCAGCCTCCGTGCGCAAGGCGTTTTTTTTATTTTTTATAATACATACCGGGATTAAGTTAGTATTTATATGAAATTTTAATTTTATTTTATTTTTTATTCTATTTTCGTTGTAAATACAAAGAAAATAATGGTGTAAATTGAATTGGGTCCTAAATTACCAGGGTCTTAAATATGAATCGTCTAGTAGCACAATCGTTATCGGAGGCTTTCCTGGGTACTAATTTTAATTAAATTAACCCAGTAATTTCTAAGGTGGAAGGTGTGATGGGCTAGGTAGTCAGCTCATTCAAGGAACAAATTATTCATTATGTTTGTTTATTCTTTTTCGTCTTAAATGTGTTGTTTGTATTATGTTTGCCTGTGGTATGTATAGTTGTAGGATACATAGTATATTGTTGTATTGTAAATTATGTATTATTTGTGTCAATGTTTACATCCTTGTAGCAAGTAATAAAAAACCTGACAACTCTAAGTTAGTTGGTAGATCAACCGGCAGCTGCCACTCACTTCCCTAGCTTCCTGAGGTGGTTGTTTCTGACCGGCACTGAATACCGTACTCCCATTCCCCGTTGATCTTCTCGTGTGCTTTCATGTTGTGGAAATTTTTAATAATCCCTAGACAAGTATGTCCCATAACACTTTTAAGAGAAGTTCTCGATAGGCATGACACTCCTGGCGTTCTAATCGCCGATAATGGAGGTGAATTCAATAATGAATTGCTAGTTAAATTGTTAATTGTCTCACATTAAAGAATGCAACATTGCAGCACATCACCCATCTTCCAACAGCTTAGCAGAACACCTACATAGGAATATACTTATTCATCTTCACTGACATGAACTGGGATGAATGTATGTCTGATGTATAGTTCCATTAACTGTTCATATTATCAGTCCATCGGCAACACACTAAACTTTGCTTTTTATAATCATGACATTTTCTTTGTGAAGGTGAACACAGGGGGAGACTCAACTTTTAGTGAGGATTTCAAAGGTGAAAGGTACAGATAAACCAAGCTCATTCACCAGAGAATAACTTCTGAATTAAAGAAACTTACCAACACCTTTACTGAACACAATAAAAACACACAACCAATCCGTGAGTTAGTAGGTCATTTAATAATGATCAGGAACTATTTAAGGTGAAATATGGACAATATGTTCATTGGGCCTTACAGGGTTCATCAAAAAGTGTCGGGTCACAGGTACCAACTGCAACATATCCACACATGAGAAATAAAACATGTGGATAATTTAACAATTCTCCAACAATAAGGTGTAGCCTAGTCAATAGACTTGCTGATCCTTGCACAGTGTACAGTCGGCCTCAGGAAGAAGTACATACGGTGTACATCTATGATTCATGGCTGGAACAAAATGTATGATAACTGTCCTAAATGGTTTGCTGCAAAAATTTTAGTTGTCTTGTGTTTATATTACAAGTATATAATATACTGTAATCATGATTTGAACCCTCTTACGCATCATGACAAATCACATTAAATCAATGGGTAGCACTACTGTATTTGCATTACTGTAGTGACAGGATTTATAACAGTTTTAAAATTCAGCATGATCTTGCGTGGGAAGCTTCTAGAAAGTATCGAAGCATATATGGAGTTCATCTGTCCATCAGTTTCCTACCATAAGCCATGCTCGTAGGTTGCACTAATCCTTCTCTCTCCCCACTATTATTTATCAAATTTCCAAAGCCAATGTTGGAAAGCTTATAAAATTCCCCTTCTATAACTATGATAATACCATGGTAGGTTTTTGAGAAAATAACCTAGATATGATGCTGGGAACCCTTTTGGGGGAGTGCAAAATTATTTTTCTGTTATCTTGTGGAATAAATTTGACTATACCACATGTAAGTGGTCCCATGTGACTTTTACTGTGGTCACAAACTTAGAAACTTAGTGTGCACAAAGGGGTTAGCTCATTGCCAAATGAAATGGCAGTTGTTACAGCTCCCTCCTTTCCTTATGCCTAGGCATATGGGAACGTGCTTAAGAGGGTGGGAGATAGTTGGAGTCAGAAAGGTGAACGCAAGAGGGAAAAATAAAGAGGGGGGTACAGTTTCATCATTCATCTGGATGTGCAGTTCCAGTTGTAAAGCTGCATGTGCATACTTGTTGCCAAGGCACTGTACATTGTCTCCTGTTCCTTCTCACAGGTACAAGCTTCATGAGAGAAGCCTTCACTATTTGCATCTATCCAGGTTACAACTAACTATATTAACATCAAAATTTTATATTTGCAGGAAGATTAGGTTTGTCTTCATGCTCTGCCAGTTAAGATTAATGAGCAGCAATGAATATAAAATATTTAATCATTTAATCTTTCAATTAAAGATAATTTAGTTGATTCTTAGGATATATTATGAGTATGCTTTGAGTTGCAAGTGGACATTTATAGTAAAAACAAGTAAATTGTTTTGTAACCGACATCATATTTCATGTTAGATGCAAGTCCTTGCTTCACTTCTCCATTCTTATGAAAGTTTTTAAGGCAATATTTGTAAACAAGATCATTTGTTTTACCCATGATGCCTATTTACCATTAAGTGCATATACAGTATATAAAGGATGGTAAAAAAAATTGTAAATCTTTATTTATTTACAATCACAGGGTGGGTCCACACACCATACACTAAACATACAGACCTGGATTTTCACAAGTTTGCACCATGGGTGATCCGTTTACAAAATTGGCATCATGTGTAATTAAAGACCATTATGTATAAGCCAATTAACTGGGTATATTTCCATAATATATTCCAATTTACTGCAGCACATTTAAGTAATTAACCTGATGTTGCCAATTTTAAACATATAAATGAATGGCTCTCTTATTATAAGTGATGGCATTCAAAAATATTAAATTACAAAATCCTCACTAACCTAAGGAGAAAAAGATAATAATAATAATAATAATAATAAAAACAAAGTATGAATAAATAAAATGATGAGTGGAAAGCAGGTACTATTCACACACGCTCTCTGATTGTTGTGGCTTACCTCAACTTCCACAAAACTGTGGACAACACTTTGTTACATATTAGTATACGTGCAGGTGTCAATATGTAACAAGATCACTTCCAACTGAAGGGCTCTGTCCTTCTCTTTACAAGATATTTTTCAACTGAGACTTACACATACTCCACGAGATGAACTGATATTTTAAGTTTCCTCTAGATTCAAAATACTGTATAATTCAATGATCTTGTCATTCTTAGCAATATCTATTCTTCAGCCCCATACACTATTGTTTTCTTACCATTCATCATGGAATGGCTAAAAGATATAAATATCATAGATATACAGTGTTTTTGTTTTTTCATTTGAGAACCCTAAATAATTTCCATACACTAAAAACAATATCAGTTAGGAACCTTATATGTTGTGTAAATGTAGCCTAATGTTACAGAAAGACATGGAATGACACCGAGAGTTATTGGGCATCACATGACCTGTCAGTGATGTTTAACAGTTTTCCTTAAGTCACGCCGTGGCGCTTATTGTTTGTGGATTGTGTTTGTGGGTTGTGCTTTGTGTTATCCATCAGTAGCCTTTAGCGGTTTTCACTCAGTCACACAAACACAGTGAGTGCCAGGGCATGACAATGAAAACCAGTAAACGCCACTAACGGGTCATGTGATAAATCATGTGATACCTGATAATTCTCATGATCATATCACGTCTTTCTGTAACATTAGGCTACATTTACACAAAATATTAGGTTCCTAACTGATATACTACACTGAAGTTTAGTGTAAGGAAATTATTTAAGGTTTTTGAAAGAAAGTTACACTGCATAAGTCCAAGTTAAATTGGTTGTATAGGCAATTTTATTAATTGCTAAAGTTGTAGTAGACAATTTCACATTACATTAATGTCAATATTCAGTGTCAAACCTAAAAACCCAAAACTACCACAATGCTCAAAAGTATTTTATTGTATACTTTGAATAAAAACATAAGACAATTCTGGTTTACAAAAGTTGAAAAACAAATTCTCTCAACCCTTCCACCAATATTCAACTTGCCTTGAAGTTATATGGTATAAAATGAAGTTTGAACCTTAAGTCTCAGATATTTTCTTTGATATTGCTTTAATTTAACCCTTTCGCCGGCTGACCATCTGCTCCAATTCTCACCCGTAAGCAGGCCGATGAGGCAAACTGCATCACCTAAAATGCATAATTTTTCTTTTAAATTAATTTTTTCATTTACCATTCAGGGGTAAAATTATGCAAACTTTTTATTTATTTTTTTTATTGAGTTATAAAGATAAACAATATGACTAAGTGATAAAAGAACAAAATAGTTGTACAAATGATATGGGATGACTGAAAATGAGTGTGAAGATATCTTATGCGCCAGTGTGAGTGCTCAGGGTCTTGGGAGACTTCTCACGTCTAATGGTCCGTGTAGTGACACAAAGAGCGTCATTGACCAGCAAAAGGGTTAATTATAAATGAAAGTCTTTGCACAAAACAACTGAAAGGAATTTTCCTTATACAGTACTAAAAACTTTCAACAACTTTCACTCAACTTCTTTAAACTTCATTTAACCCTAAGTAACTTTATTGAACAGTTTTGTGCTTTGCTCTGCAAGAAACTTTTTTTTAGCAACATAAGCAAAGTGGGTCGTCAAATATTTTGTAATTATATATAACAATTATTATTTACAAGAACAGAGTACCCTGAATGTTAAAATAAAATTCTCACTTTAATCTTTCAGCCAAGAATAATTGTGATGCTGGCACTTCCTTGTTAACATTGGCCAGCAATGTCACATTAGGTCTTCCCAGCTCCCAATTTCTTTGCTTCTATCTCATAGATTAATAACCGCCACATCTTGACAACAAAAACTTCTGCTTCATCATCAAGAACCTGTAGAAGAATGACAAATTAATTTCTATTCTGGTATTCAAGAGTTAACAAAGGACAATATACAGATTACCTTTACCAGTAAAACATATTTTGTTAAAAAGAATTAGTAATTCTACTCATATAAAATAAAAAGATTGAGTTCCATGTGAAATGAAAAAAAAAATTAAGAACTAAGAAGAAAATAAAAGGTCAAATAAATACATTTATTACAGTGCTGGGGAGTGTAGGTGGTGGGGATTAATGTGATCAGCATTTTTCCATAATGTCCAATGATGTGATCTACAGCACTGTAGCAATCAGAAGCATAAAGTGCTTTAGGAAAATTATGTGATATAAAAATTGTTCCACTATAAGCTGGGAAAGCTTATAATATTTACCAATAAAACTAAAAAGAAACTAGCACTAACTTACCATCTGTACATCATTTAGTAGAGACTGTGGTTCCGACCCAACAAGAACCTTTGAGCAAATGAAATCTACCAAAGTAGGCTCTGGTTCTCCAATATATTCAATGATCTTCTTGTTTATCCATGGCCGGATTCTCTTCTCCATAAGAACCTGTAATATTATTCGACCATTATAAATTATTCATATTGCTTAGCCGGTATAGGAAATTAAAACCAAATACCTTAAGACACGTATGAGGCAACCTGAATGTAACAGACCTTTCTAAACAGTTACAATGTTTAAAACAACTAAAATTATAAGAGTGATATAATATGGGACAAATAATTATAAATCTAGATTTATATTAATAATACAGGTGTAGTAAGCAAAATGTGACAAATTATGCTGGACTGTAACTTCTTCCCTACAGGACATCACTTTTAATATTATATTTAGCTAATGCTAGAGGATTTTATTAAGCACAGAGGCAATGTCCAGCTTCGCCTATATATTCCTGATCGCACACTTAATATTAAGCTACAATACGTGAAGAAGCAGTGTGGCCATCACTGCACTGCACTGACTACCTTTACATATCTAACTGTAAATTTAAATCCCCATTCACAGGTGGGTCTACTGGAGGTGCCCCAGGCATGAACTAGGTAAGCATTGAATCCACTCTACTGCTGAAATCTTGGGCGCGCGCACCCTTGCCACCAAAGGGTCAAGACCTATCCGGTGCTGCTCCCGCAGCCCGGCCAACTGTAATGTTGGCACATACCCCAAACTCTCTTCCCTCAAGCCCTCCTCCCCACCAGAATATCAGCAAGTTCTCGCCAGAAGTTACTATTTCATTTCGGAAAGGAATGGAACCGGTGTTTTGAACAGTGATGAACATTGCTTAATCCAGTAAAAGCAACATTAAACAGTAAAAGCTGACTTGTGATCAAGTTGATCTTTAGACAGTGAGGTCTTATGCACCCAGTGATAACTGCCCATGAGACCCAATAACAAGCCAAGCAGCGATGTGTTAATCAGTCCCGCGATAGGGAGCTACTACATTAAGTGTTTGCTATTCAACACCTCAGCACACATGACCTATGTGACCTCCACTGTAAACATTAATTTCTATGTTCACTGTAAGTTCCTTTTCCTTTCTCTAATGAATAGTTTTGTTAAACAACCCCTCCCTCCATGGTTAATGTATGTAATAGACATTTCAGTCCATTGTATATTTTCAGCCTCCTGGCTGCTGAACCTTTTTCAATAAACTGCTAATTATTTTTATTATTATTATTGAATAATCCACAAGCCACTCACATTGTCAACAAGGGACGAGTCGATTGGGTATGCAAAAAGTTCCTCTTTACTAGTAGGGATCTTGTCGATCATGCTCTTGATATGTTTACGTTTCTCTTCTCCACCGCCCTTCTCTTTGTTGCCCTTATCTTTCCCTGAGTAAAGAAACAAAGCAATTTTATTATTAATGTTCTATGATCTATGCATTTCATATAGGACATAGTTCCACTTACTCTAAAGTAACATACACAACTTCTAAAATGTCATATTACCTGGTTCTATTGAATTTCTAAGCAATTTTTGCAAAGGATCTTCCTTCGCACTCAGAGTCCGTTCTGAAAATTTAGAAAAGATGCATTATCTGCATTTACACTTTAACAATCCACCCTTCCAAAATACAAATTAGGTACTAATGACTAGAATAAGTATACACTAAATAATGAAACAAGTAAAATAACAAGCTGTAATTTGCCAAGCAAAGCCAAACAACCAATCTTTTAATTTAACCATCATTATACTGTACAGTACTTGCAATAAATTGAAAAATACAGATATAATCTTAAAAAATAATTTTCTTGAGTACTGTACATTAAAGACACCATGAGTATATAAAATTACCATTGAAACTTTAACCCTTTAACATATGATATTTCAACCCACATTTTTTTTACATAAGGAGGTACTTGGTGGAATTAATCCACCTAGTAAGCATTATAGACAGGCAGTAGAAAAGTGATAGAATGGAGAACAAGAGTGTACAAGCTATGTATGACAAATGAAGATACCAAAGGAATAACAGCATGTACCTAACTTCTGTATTATGAAAAAGTGGTCAGAATGTATTATTGTTATTACTGAGAGAACAAAAGCAAAAACAGGAGTGTACAGTATAAGAGTATTTGAGTAAGAGCAGAGCAGGTTCAGAAAAGATAATGTATAAATTAAATGTTTGCACTACAAAATTGGAAGAAAATTTTATGGAGAAGGGAAAAATTTGTTGTAACTATGGATTTAAGAAAGTACATGTAATGTAACAGACAGGAAAGCCTGTGCAAAATATTGAAAATACAAGCAGCAAATGGGAAAATGATAATACAGTCCCATGTTTTAATGGGTAGAAAGAAATGTGTTAAATAAGGGGGGGGGGGTGGAAGAAGAGTCAAGTTGGGGTATAATACAGTGCCACCATAGTTGTTTAACTATGGATGGGATAGTAAGAAAAACAAAAGTAGAGAGATGCAAGTTTGGTGAATAATGATAATACAAATGCGAGGCAAGTCATCTGCTGCTTGTGGCACCAGTGGGATGGGCAGAATAAAATTAGCAAATATTTTTTAATGGGTGTGGAAGTGTGTACAATACTACAAGAAAGTTAATAATGGATGCGAACAAAAGCGTAATGATAAAAATAGGAAGAGCCAGGGAGAAATATATTTTATTGTGAATGGAAAGCTAACACAGGAAGTAGTCTTAAATACCTGGGAGTGGAGGTGTAAACTCATGGACCAACGAGTGATGAATTAAAGCGAAAAGGAGCAGTAGAATAGATCTAATAAGTGTATTATGATATGCAAGGTAAGAGGGCGAGGACGATGTCAAAAGATGCAAACCTGGAGATGCAGAAGGAATTTGACAAGCCAACATTCTATGGGTGTGAATCCTGGGCTCTGAATTAAAGGGGGCAGAAAGAAATTAGAAGAGAAAGGTGTGCTTTAAGCAGTTTCTAGGGTAAATAGGATACAGAGAAATAGAAACACAGAAACAAGGTAATGTGGCAGTAAAAGAAGTATTGGATAGAGAAGCAGATCAGTTAGAGTGTCCACTGTCAATAGCTTTGGCTAGGAAGTGAAGCAATGATGGAAGATAAACCTGACTATGATAGAAGAGGTGGTGTCAAGTGTGCTGATTGTTCAAGTACTGTAGCTACTAAAAAGACATCCCATTTTCTGAAAAATTTCAAGAAATTTTTCCCAGAACGTACCAGAAAAATTCCGGGGATGGTTTTTTTCGGGTTTGAAAAAAGGAAATCGGTCGCATTTCCCAGAAATTCTGAGAAAAATTTTCTCTTACCTAGAAAATTACGGAACATTCTGGGGATGGGGGATATTTTTCCGGGTTCAAGAGATGATGTAATACGCAATTTCTGGAACTTCCGAGACTATTTTTCCGCTACCTAGAAAATTACGAAGACGGGGGATTTATTCCGGCTTTGAGATGAAATTATGCACTACTGTATTCTGGAACTTTCGAGAACATTTTTCTGTTACCCGGAAAATTCCAGGGATGAGAGATTTTTTCCGGCTTTGAGAGAGTCATCTCAATACCGTACCCGGAAATCTCTCCTTCCAGAAGTGCTCTGCACTAATTGTTCCGGCTAATGGAGGTATAACTTACACTATACATTTTGTTTATTTACAATATATTGGACGTGTACAATGGTGTTTGCTTAAACAAATACAACTCAATGTGAAATGTGTTCTTTAGACACAGGAAATGTCTTGGCTGTGACAAACAGCTCCATTCACACCTTGCAAGCCAATGTCAAAGATTTTTTTTTTTTAAATATATTTATTTGACCAAACTTTTAGACAAACTATAGGGGAATATTTCAGTAAAAAAAAACAAAAAAAAAATCTAAATTGGAACTGATTTCATTGACTTCAGTATCAACATTTCTTCCTTTTTTTATAAAAGAATGGAGTTCCCATCACTGTACATTGTCCAAATATTTTGTTGAAGGATTTATTATTGAAACATTCTTGTAGAGAAATTATTCAAGATCATTATGGTACTAAATTCATCTAACACCAAAGTATTAGAACAGAGGCTGCGAATAATAGTTTATAAAATTTTTTGCTTGCTGTAAATATTTTTGCTTGTGCCTGCAGTCTAAATGTAATGGGAGTGTGTTGGTCTGAGAAAGAGGAGATATGAGATGTGTAGTTTAGAGTCAAGATGAGATGCATCATTTAGACTCTTAGAATATCAGAAAACATTCCGGAGATGTATTATAATGTCTGTCCGTGTGATACTGTACATAGTTTAGACTCGCAGAAACTTTTCCGAGTATGGTACCCGGCGAAAATTCCGGGGATGTGGGATTTTTTCAGTTTTCAGAGTCGTCTCGTTATAGAAATCTCTCATCCCTAAAAGAGCTCTGCACCAATTGGTCTGGCCAACGGGGATATCATTGTTTACCGAACAAAGTTTGGTATTGGACGAGTTTTTAGATTTGTTTTATACCAAGAAACTCTATGCCGAACTGGGTGTTCAATTATTTTGGAATATAGAGATAATACTGTATGTGTATGAAGTGCCCTGAGCTGGTCTCACTACCATTTCCTGGACCATGCAAACTTTCTTGCCTGGGGGCAGACACCCAACAAAATTGAAAGACTTAACAGAATGAAAGGTAATGTATGGAAACTTTCTGGAATAATGTATAATGGAACCTCCTTACCAAAGAAAATAGTCTATAAGATCCAATACTCTAGGCTGTTATGAAAAAAAAATTCACCTGGCAAAGGAAGTTTCTTCTTTTTTGATGGTAGGTCATCATCATCTTGATTAAAAACATCTTTTACGTCATATTTTTTTCTCTTTGGTGGTTGAGGTGTAGTATCCACAGATGACATGAATGCATCTGGAAATAATATTAAAACTGATTTATCTGCATCACAATGTAAATATTGTAGCACATAAGCATTGATATAATTTACAAAAGTCTGAGGTTAAATTAGAGAAGCTAAAGCGTACACACCTCTGGACTGAGAGTTTTCCTCCTCTATATCTGGCATAGGTTCTGGAGGAGCATCAGACATATGGCCATCTGAGTCAGAGTCTGATTCTGCTACAGTCAGAGGAAGTGGCGGCTGCTCAGGGATCTGTGGAAGTTCAGGCGGAGGCTCTGCCGGTACAGGAGCAGGAGGTGGAATCTTACGTTCTGCAGGCTTAACCAACAGCTTGGGCTTGTACTGCTCCTCTCTCTCTGCACAAGCCTGAAGTTAATAAATGTACCAATTATGTAAAAGTATCATTCTTTCCCAGCATCCATAAACCATACCACCTACTTATGTTTTTTTACAATTGTGCTAGTTCAAACAACATTTGTATACAATCTAAATGAAAAAAATAAAATAAAATAATGCAGCTAAAACCATAAAGGAAAAGCTAAAAGAAAGTTTAACACAACCGCAATGCACAGACTTGGCTGCGTCAACACAAGTCGCCATAGTAACGCCCCCTCACGCAAAAGAGTAAAACTTAAAGTACTGTAATAAGGCTTAGAAATAAAGAAAATATAATATACACACACATCTCAGTCTGCTGGATAGCTGCCTGGCTGAACTGTGGCAATGCTTAGATGATGGTTTGAGTGTGGAAGGAGCTACTTATTGCACATAAAATATGTGCTATTGTATTTTATGATATGCTATGTATAAATTTTATTGTTTATCATTGCAATTCTTGTTTAAAAAAGAGGTGATAGCACTACTGGTGTTAGACATGAGTATAAATGACTTCAGTTGCTTTCAGATTGTTGGACTAAATTAGAATTTTCACCAAAGGGGACAAAGTTGGGATACTAACTGATAAGTAAACACAAAATGGAACAATTATAGTAAAGTTAAAGTGGTGCCACAAAGAAGAATTCAAAGCCAATAATTTACATTAACTTAAAGAAACATTAACTCACCTTCTCGAAGGCAGCATCAGGGTTATCATGCCCTTCAGCTAGTATCTTTGTTCTCAGTTCCTCTAGTTCCTCCTTCTCCTTAACTCGATCTCGTGTATCCATCTCCTTCTCCTGTTCTCGCTCCACTAATCTTCTTTGGAATGCATGTCCCCTAGTTAAAAATTATATGGTTTAAAAGCTATAATTTGAAAATAAAGTAGAAGGTAATGTCCTACAGAATCAAATAACTGTGACTACAATGTTGAGCTAACTTTGCAAATTGAGACTACAATTAGATTTGTTTTCATCAGCATTCCTCAGTATTCTAACTTGCAAGGTTCCATATTTACAAATTTTTCAGTACCATCACTTATGTATATTTTCCTCTACATACATCCAGAACTTCATTTCAGTCTTTCAATTCATCCTGTATCTCAAGGATAAGGCAATAACTGCTTTACATCTTGGTAAGTAAACCATTATCAAAATGAAACTCTTCTTAATAATTGGTGGCCACAATTGGAACCTGCCATAAGTTTTCAACCAACAATGCTCAAAATATTTGCTGAAAAATTCTGTTAGCTGCTGTAATAATGAACGAAGTCACTGGATTTATTTTTATTTTCCCAAGACCTATACTATACCTATATTTTACCACAACAATGAAAAAAGCCAAAAGTTTCATCAGTACAGTACAATGATTAAAATGTGTAATCATCTTTCTATTAAGGTGGCCTCCTGCTGCTCCTCCCCTCACAACACTATCATAAAAATAAAACACTTTCTAGTACACACATTAATACTTTACATCACACACTACCTGTTATTAATAAAGGACGAGTTTACTACAATGCATCAAATATCAGAAACACACAAATGAAGTACTGTACAATTTCATAAATTTACTGGTGTAAAGCAACTTATATAAATACTGTATATGCTTATTAGACATTTAATATAATTGCCTCTCATATTGTTTATTACTGTATAGTTGGAATAAAACCTGTTTGACATACATTAGTGAATAAAAATTTACCAGTACAATACTGTACTGGTAAGTATCAAAGTACATACAGTACTATTGTATTTTTTCTTTATTACAGAAGATGTTATATTAATCATGATGAACCATAAGAGGCCAATCATATGAGAATATAATACTGAATCAATAAATACATAAACCTGATGAATGTGGCAATACCTAATCAGCCCCAGCCTGCTTACATAGTCAAGTGTCTTAGTTCTCAGTAAGGCAATAGCAAATCTTATTTGACCACCGTACAGTATTTAGTAAGTGTGATTAAGTGTGGTTTTCATAAGTTTTTTTTTTTAATATTCACCATTTCTTAAAACATGTATTTATTTTTTGTCAGCATTTCTGGTGACCAGAGCACCTCAAGAGTCCAAAAAAAGTGAATTCCGATATACGTACAGGGTATTGAAGTCTGCTTTATCGAGGTTTTGCTGTATGTGAAAGGCAGCCAAATTATCTCCCAAATAATGATGATAATTTCTAGAGTGATGAGTAATTGGCATTGAAGAATATGCAAATAGGATCAACTAAATAATCTCCGCCCCACCTTAATTCACCGATAGATTAACCACCCTAAAGCTGTTTGAGAAGGATTAGGTTAGGTTAGGTTTTGAAACATAGGAAATATAAACAAATACAGATCAAAAGAAAGCTAATGACAAAACTATTACTCACTTGTAGTACTTTGGATCATCTCTCTCATCATCGTAGTCTTCTAAGAACTCCTTCAATCTTTTGGCTTCCTTCTCTCTCTCCTGTTCCTTCTGCCTGTCTTTCTCCTTCTCTCGGTCCAATTCTTTCTGTTTCTTGTGCTCGCGGGTCTCCCAGTTTTTTAACCTCTCCTGAAAGTATTAAATCATTTCTGGTAACCTCATCTTCCATATCTTAAGATGAACAAAAAACACAGTTTAATTCATAAACTATTAATTAAATTATCTATCATTAAGCAAACACAATAGCGGCCAACACCTCTGAACAAATGTCTATTGAGACAGACTGACTGAAAGAAATTTAAATTACTTATGAAACATTACACCACATTTGCCTAGTTCTATAGAAGGTCAATGACAAAACTGGAACAACTAACATGCTTTTACAGTAAGTCTGGGAAATATATGAAACCTTACAATACAGTATTTTGAATTTTCTCAAATTATAAATATCTGGAATAATATTTTTAGCAATACCAAGAATATCTAACGCTAGTTTCAATTGGCTTAGTTACCTTGAACAACTCTTAAAACAAGAAGTGGTGTAATGTTTCTTAAGTTAAAGAAAAAATTTAAATCTCATTTTATGGCCACGAGGAAGAACGAAGTGACTCGTGAGAAAGCCCACTCAGAACTCCCCCGGTAAAGCTTGCCTTGTCCAGGAGGGGATTTCTGCTTTCTGAAACAGGAAGAATTATCCAAAATGTTTCAGTCAATGGTCATCTTACAAAAAAACTACTTTTCCAGCTGTTGCTTTGAAAATGAAGCAAGTGAGACAGTAACCAGGACATCATCTTGACATATAACATCATTCAAACCCAAAGATCATATACAGGTACTCCACGACTTACGACCACCCGGACATACGACCACCGCAGTCGTATAAAACAGTTTTCAAATTACGTATTTTCGAGTCCCGACGTTAGTGATAGCGCTGTGTACTGACAAAATTTTCGTTTGTAATACCCTTTAAAATGGCTGGCAAGCGTAAAAGTGAGAGTTCTCGTGGTCCTGAGAAGAAAAAGAGATCCATTTTAGATTTTCTTTGTACAAGTATTATTTACAAATTCTTGACTTACGACCAATTCGACTTACGACCTGGTCGTCGGTCCCTAACCCCGTCTTAAGTCAAGGACTGACTGTACAGTGATATCTCCGTTAGCCGGAACAATTTGTGCAGAGCACTTCCGGGAATTAGAGATTTCTGGGTAACGAGATGACTCTCTCAAAGCCGGAAAAAATCCCTCATCCTTGGAATTTTCCGGGTAACGGAAAAATTTTCTCAGAAGTTCCGCAAATTGCACATTACATCAGCTCTCAAAGCAGAAAAAAAACCCTCATCCCCTGAATTTTCCAAATTTTCCAGGTACCAGAAGTGTGTTCTCAGAAATTCCAGAAAATGCGCCCGATTTTTCAGATCTCAAACCCGAAAAATAAAAACACCCCTATCCCCAGAACTTTCCGAAATTTTCTGGGTATCGGAAAAATTTTCTCGGAATTTTGCAGAAAATGTGCCCCTCTGAAAATCGTTCCCAAACCTGAAATTTTCCGGAAAATTCAAGCTTTGGGAACGACTTTTCTAGAAAATTTCAATTCCGGCTATCGGAGAGTTCCGGGTTTTGAGGGATTCCGGCTAATGGAGATATTACTGTACTTGGGTCTCTGATGTTCATCCCTCACATTTGGGCCCCACAACAGGTAAAGCAATAAACAGAATCAAAAGACAGTGGGTCTTTCGTTATTCATATGGTTTCCGTGCTTAAAAGTCCATACATATAGCAACGATATGAATAGTGAAGCAAATATTTCCAAATGGTCAAGTTAGGTTACATTTGTTGGTTAACCTGAAATAAAAAGTACAAACACGTACAGTACTTATCATATAAATACTGCACCTTCATATGAGAATTATAAATAACAAATACAGTACATAATATTATAAAAATGTATGACAATTAATTTTTTAAAAATTCTACAAATGCGCACGGAGGTTGGCGGGGCTCTGACAATGCCGACGCACTCAGTAAACAGTTGCTGTTCTGCCTTGTTTTCATAAGGATACTTCCGACGAGGCTAGGATAAACACTTATGTTGCGGTCTTTTACAACATTATTGTACCCTCATTCAACAGTAAATGTGAGGAATAAATATAATTATACTTATAAAAAAATACTACTGTACATTGCCATATGTTAATTGTTTCACTACACACATAAAAGGAATAGACATTTCTTCGTGGGCGGGATGTGGCTACTGTGACGAGTCTAACTTGGCAACGTGCCACCAGCAATATAAACATATGCAATTAAAACAGTTTTTAATTTCCGTTAATTATATAAGTACATACAGTACTGTAAATGTTGCCACACACTAGCTTGCACTACAATAAATTGCTTACTGTACGTGTTCAGCACAAAATACTCTCGGACGCAGTAAATTTTGTTTCGTTAAAGCAGAGTTTTCGTTCGTATACCTAAGTGCTGGGACATTAAAAAATTGTATGCAAGTTTTCATAAATCGAGGTGTCTTAAATCGCGGCACTCATGTATACAGTAATTATTTGCTTGACAGCAATTTGCACATGCACCGGCATGTGGTATGTGGACACCACAGGGATCTCCCACTGTTGTGCAGATGCATTCCATGATAAAGCGTCGGCTTTACCTCACGAGTTTTTCTTTCAATTCAATGTTTCCTCATTCCCTTTTGTGTAAGAATATTCATTTCTAGAAAAGCTTAAATATTCTTAATACTGTATGTTTCATAGAATGTACAAGTTTTTAAAGATTTAATAAATACAGGGTAAATATCAAATGAAGACAATCGATCACCTGATGAAAACACAGTTCCCCCTGCCTTCAATTGATAGTAACACAAGCAAGCACATCTTTTACAGCACCTTTAGTGTAAGAACATTAACCCTTTAGAAGGTAAAGCTCAGGTATTTTATTCTAACTAATTCCAAACAATTTTTTATTTCTTAGAGAAGCATTAAATATTCTTAATCCTGTACAGTACCAAGGAGTGTTTCATCATCCCAAAAACATTAAAAACCTTTTTATCAAGAGATGGCAGCACTGATGCCTTTCATCTTTGTGGTACCTTCCTGAAACTGTGCAAAGATTGAGCACCTAGGGGTGTTGGTGGTACAGTGGTAACGCGCATATCTCTCACCAATATGTCAAGGGTTTGAGCCTCGGCCCGGACACACGTGAGAAGGGTATTATCCAGTGTGACCCTCACTACCAAACACCACAGGTTTCCCGGTCCCCGGTTTCCTCCGGTACTAACACTGGATAGACCGCCGAAACGGCTAGTAAGCTGATAAGTGGCGAATATGTATATATATATATATATATATATATATATATATATATATATATATATATATATATATATATATATATATATATATATATATATATATATATATATATATATATATATATATATATATATATATATATATATATATATATATATATATATATATATATATATATATATATATATATATATATATATACTGTATATATATATATATATTCTTCAAGCTGTGCCTCCAGGTTTTGTGTTTATTCAAGACATCATCAGGTCATGAGACCCACTAATCCTCTACCCAAGAAAGGGTAACCTAACACTCCATCAGGTCAGTAATATGAGACCACTAACCCCTCATCCTACCTCCACCTGACATTGCATCAGGTCAGGTCAGTTACAAGAGACCCACTAATCCCCCACAGCTTCATAGAAGTGGAAAATAACAGTCTTTGCTGTGACACATCTTCATTCATGCCCATATCCTATAGATTTTTAATTTTTAAATATATTTATTTAACCAAACTTTTAGATAAATTATTCTGGAGTATTATAGTAAAAAAATTAAGTTTATAACTTAAATAGAACTGTATTTATGGACTCCAGTAGTTTAGACTCAAGGAAAACATCTCCAGCATCCAGAAACATTCTGGGGAAGTGGGCCAGTGTGTGTATGTGCAAGAGGTCTAGTTTAGACACCCAGAAACTTTTACCAGTAACCGGAAAAGGTTCCGGGGATAGGGAATTTTTCCGGGTTTGAGAAAGTCGTCTTGTTACCCGGAAATCTCTCATCCCCAGAAGTGCTCTGCACCAATTGTTCTGGTTAACGGGGATATCACTGTATCAGTATTCTCTAATTATATCCTATTTTCAGGGGCCATGTAGGCTGCCTTGGTGGTGGTGGTGATGGGGTGGAAGGGGTATTGTAGGGTGCCTTGTTGCAGGGGGGGGGTGGAATGGGTAGTGGTGGTGGTGTTGATTGTTGTGTTAATAGTGGTGGTAGTGATTACGGTATGGTAATGGTGGTGATTGTGAGGGATGTTAGTGGTGCTAAAGGTTGCAGTGGTGGTGGTTTTAGTGATGAATGTAATAATGGCAGTCAACATCTATTTTCTATTATTTTGGGGAACACAAGGTTTTCTATCATTTTCAGGAAAACAATGTTTGAGAGGGACAAAAGACTTTGATTTCAATTTAACTGCAATCAGGCAGAGGCAAGCATGCCGCTGAGTAAGTTGACAGAAAAATATGCATTCACTCCTTTTGAAACGAGTCCAAAACCAATCTGCCTGATACGCAATGAATCCATTGCTGTTGTAAAAAGTGGCAACGTTAAATGCCACTATGAAACTAAACACAGTCACTTTGAAAAGACCTATCCCTAGAACACTGAAGCAAGAATGATCAAAATAAATTGGCTCAATCACAATTTGAGAGGTCTACTAGAGTCCTTATTAATTCCTTGACCCTTCAAGAAAGAGCAATGGAATGCTCTCTGAAAGTAGCTTGGCTTTTGGGAGAACACAAAAAGCCATTTTCTGATGCAGATATAGTCAAGGAATGTATGCCGAAAGTTATGGGGACACTATTAGAGGGTAAACAAAAAGAGGAGATCAAAGACAAGATAAAACAGATCCCATTGTCAGATTCCACAATGAGAAGGACTGAAATATTATCCGAAGATCTGACCTCACAACTTGATAATGGTATAAAAAATGCACCATGCATTTCTTTGGCTGTAGATGAGTCAACAGATACCCAGCTTGTGGTATATGTTAGGTTTTATGATGAAGCAAAGAGGGAATTGTGTGAGGACCTGTTAGGCATCACAAATCTTGAAGCACGAACACGGGGAGAGGATATCTATGATGCCATAAAAGCGATGCTAACAAAAAGGGCGACAGATCTGAAGTCAGTGGTGTCACTCACTACAGATGGAGCTCCATCCATAATAGAAAGTGGGAGGGAACTGGTTGGGCCCTTGAAAGAGGACCACCCTGACATGTTATCGTACCACTGCAAAATCCACCAGTCCATCCTGTGTGCTAGTCTAGGAAAGGAGTATGCTGAGGTCACGGAAAAGTTGGTGAAACTTGTCAACTTCCTGCAAGCAACATCACTACAGCATTGCTTGCTTCATGGCTTTTTAACAGAAGTCAATGCCAGATATTAAATCTCATCTCAATGCTCTCAAAGTCAAGCCGCAAAGAGGAAACAGCACAACGTGTGATCTGATATCAACTGTTCAAGCTTTCCAGAAGAAACTGGAACTTTTCAAGCACAATTTCCAGGGAGAAATTCTCCAAATTTTTGGAGCATACCAAAGGATGAGATATCATAACCATATACATGTTCAGTTCTTCGAGAAACTTATTGATGATTTCAAGGCTCGTTTTGGAGGACAGCTAGTGCTGTTCACTCAGAACCCCTTTTTGTTCACAAATGTCTCCAAGTTTTCAGAAGAAACAACACACACATTCAAATGAGTATGTGCAGCATCAATCCAAATGGAACTAAGTGATCTCCAAGAAAATATGGCCTTGAAAAAAGAGGTTTATAACTGTGATTCCATCACATTCTGGACACAGTAGGTGTCTCAAGCTAGTTCCCCTCATCTTCACAAACTCACATTACATATTCTCACAATGTTTGGCTCCACTTACTAGTGTGAGTCTGCTTGCTCCACTATGAATTTTGTGAAGAAAAAATACTGCTCCAGCATCACCAATGAACTCCATCATTGTTTTAAGACTAGCTGTCACATCATCTGTACCAAAGTTCATGGAATTGGCAAGAAGCACAAAGTGTCATTTTTCACACTAAAGATGACTGATCACTCAAAGGCCCAGTCACAATTACATGTGCACTCAGGGTCAAAACTAATCATCCCCCTTTTCCTATTCAACAGAAAGGGATGAATAATTACTTTTGAGCCAGACTGTACAGTCTATAATAACAATATTTTTTTGTGTGTGCTACAGAGATTTAGTTTATTTCTTTTCATTCACCATTCCTCTTCCTTCAACAACAAGAGTAGAATGTACGATAACTTTTGACCACAAAAATACATAGATTACCAACAGTGTTTTATTGTGTTACAGATAATTAGTTTTTCCTTTTGTTCACCCCACCCCCCCTGCATGTTAGATAAAGTTAACAAAACTTAGCAGGGAAAAGGCTGATGGGAAATACATAAAATCTAACCGTGTGCTCACAAAGGGTATTGGTACTCACCATCCAACTGGAGTTGATGCGTGTTGCTTGTAACAGTCCATGGGAATGTCCAAAGTACAGGCAATGGTCGAGTTTCCACAGCATTCCACTCTAACCACAGTCAGACAGAAAATAGGAGTGTATAGGACCAACTCAGTCTCTGAGTGGGCAAGTGGGGTAAGTGAAGTGATGAAGAGGAATGGATGGATGAATAATTGAAAGAATGAATGAACAAGTAAATGAAACCCGACATACCATAAATCATGGGGAGAGCGAGAGAAAAGATTGTCCCGAAATGCACGAAATAAACCAAAATGGGAATACAGGTGCATGTTTGGTGGCTGGCCAAGTGCAAGGATGTTAAGGGGAGGTATGAAATGGCAAGCAGATGCTGACACATTGTCAAAAAACAGACATCCCCAGGTGAGAATACAGCCACCAATCACCGAAGAGAATGATGTGAGTATGATTATGTTAGATGATGTATGAAGACGTCACAGGCATCCTCCAGTAGGATTGGGCAAACTGAACGAAAATATCTAAACCAAAAATCCCACCTTGTCTCTTTAAATTTGCCAAACACACTTTCTTTCTCTCTTTTGGTCTGGCATAATCATGTGGAAAGAATGTTCATACTTCTGTGGTCAAGACAATAGTGGAAATGAATCACAAGCTAAAATAGCATAAGCACAATCAGGAATGGGTCAGTGGGTGTTTGGTCAAAATTTTCTCAAGCCAAGAAAATGGTAAATATCATCATGATCAATCTTTTATGGCCATTTCAACACTTGCATAGGTTAGCCATGATTACCTGATGGCAGGATTTCATGCTGCAAGGTCTCTTGCAGCTGTTCTCATCAGGTTCTTATCTCTGAGATCATATTTTACAACCACACCCCTATCATTCTTGGCCTATCACTTTCAAATTCGTGCACCTCTCGATTCAGGTGGTCTCCTCCATTTTCTCCACATGCCCAAACAATCTCACTCTTCCTCTATGCAAACTCAATGTGAAGTCACCCTCTTAGCTCTGAAGAGGGTTTTCTATCTTTCAGTGTTACATTATACATCTATATCAATCTTCTCATTTCAGCTCACTCAACCCTACAACATACAACATACAACCTACCATCACATTCCTCGCACTAATTGCATAATCCATCTTGTCATTAATAAAGGCAACAGCTCCCAAAAATTCTTCAAGTCAATTCCAACTCCTACGACTTTAGGACCACCTCCAGCAACTGATCATGTCACCCAAGTAGCAAACTCAACACAGTCCCCATTTTTCTTTTTTCTAGCTTTGCCAATGTCACAAAATTACTTCCACATTCAATACATGGCCATTCTCCACATTCCACCACAGCTCCTTACCCTACAGCACTAATCATTGCTTTTTTTCCATATTCATTATCATATTGTTTGAGTCCATTCCAAACTTTTATTTCTTAAATCTCTTCAATATTATTTGCTATCGACATTTAAGTAATCAGTATACAGCAACTCCTAGGACAAACCAGCCCAAAAATCTGATGACAGGACCTCCAGCACCATGAAAAACAGAACACCTAATACAGGGCCTTGATGGACCCCTATTTTCACCCCATTTCTCCACTTACTCTCAGTGGTTCTTGAACCCACATACAATGCCATAACCACTCAAGTGAGACGACCCTAAAACCTATTCTTTTTCACTGCCCACTGCACTACGTCATATGGTCAAATGCCTTCTGCAAGTCTATATATATAGTCCAGCTTTCTCTCCTTTCCTAGATATTTTTCATGTAGTTGCCTGGCCAAAAATCCGGCCTCTGTAATCTCCTGCCTGGCATGAATCCAAAGTGCATTTCACAACTTTCCTAACCTGATCGAGCTTCAGGCTCTTAAAGTTTTCATATTCAAGTGCATCACCTTTTCCCTTATAAAAATTCACATTCTTTAGCCAGTCAGCTGGAACACTACATTCCATCATAACTGCATTAATCAATATGGTTATCATCACAACACTGTGATTGCAATATGAACCTAATTCCATTTAAAGCGTTAGGAAAAATGTTAAAAAAGTTTAAAAAAATAATACAGTATTCCGCTAGGGAGAGGCATCGAGAGGCACCACATTATCACCACGTGGTGCAATCTCCTTGTACCTTTTACCCTCACCAGCAACACAAGGGATGGCTCAAAACTCTCATAACACAGTTATGAATAAATGAAATTACTGTGATACACAAGAAATCAGCACAAGCCACAAGAAAATGTGGGAAATGTAAATTAACGTTATATCCTGGGCCCTTTAAAAACAAAGGGGAGACTGTGTGGTGACCTTGGAGTGCAGTCTACATAGTCAAATTGTGCTGACATTACCAAATGTGCGTCTTGCATGTCAGCATTCATAAGCAAACATAAATTTCTAATTTGTTTTACTTCATATGCAATTTTGTATACTAAAACCCTGAGTGTCAAGAAAGGCAAATGACTGCCTGCTAAGGATGTTCTCCCTCAATAGGATTCTATCACTAGATTTTATACAGGTCTCTTCAGTTCCCTTCAACATACAGGTATAAAAACCTGTGAGGCCCATTTCTTGGCACTTGACCTCTAAAGTGTATGCCTGGAATTCATCTACCGGTATTCCCCAAAACTATGATCACAGTAAACAAAGAATGGTCCTGCACCTATCCAAGATCAGTGTTTGAACACCCCAAGTTTTAAATTGTTCTGCCTATTTACCCAATACCAAATTCAAATTAAATAAAAATTGCCAGACATAAAATATGGTTCAAGCCAATATCCATTCATATACCCTGTACATACTTCAGAAAAAATAATATTTAAAAAAAAAAAAAAAAATATGGCAACTTAAAAGAATAAAACAATACAGTAAACCCAAGTAAAAAAATCAAGGTCATCCTGGATACCTCAATTCATATACAGTAATCCTGTGTTGTCACTTTTTTTTTTATCGCGGTTTTGACCATTCACGTTTTTTTTACTAAAAAGTTATATACCTATATATATAAAATATCATTTTAAAAAAAAATTTCAATTTTGTGCCATTTTTTATATTCCCCTGTGCGGTGCGGCAAACAGACGCCACCCTTTCCTGCCTCAGACACCCGCTGCTCCGAGAAGCCTCAGTCCACACGTGCCTACCGTACTGTAAACACTACCTTGATTACCTCTTCTGTTTGTCCTCCCACGTGCATTCCACATGGCTCCGGGACGTAAGCCAGCCTCATCAAAAGCAAATATTACTAGCAAAGACTCTAAAGTGACCAAGAGATCAAGAATAGTGATGACCTTAACAGAAAAAACAGTTTTATTGGACAAGCTCAGAGGTGGTATGAGCTATGGCTCGAGATGTGGTGAAGACTGACAATTCATTTGTGTCTTATGTCAGAATACAAGTCTTCAAGTGGAGGAATGTGGGTGGAAGAGGACTGGCTGGCTGGCATGACTGCGTGAGGGAGGGCAGACGCCGGGAGAGCAGGGAGAGGCTGGCAATGCGGGTGTTGCCGACCTCAGCGAAATAAAAAAAAATTTATTTACTTGTAAATAAATATATATTTTTTTGGAAATAACTGTTTACATTTTGCCATTATTATACTACAATATGATTAGTTTCAAATAATGGTGTTAGTAAATGCCGTTACAGTGCATCAGTGATCAGTGTGACCACTGGGCCGTGAGTGGAAAGCATGGCATGGTTAAGTGCATGACCTACTGGAGCTGTTTGGTGGCCACAAGTACAGCGATTCCTAAAAGAGAATTCGCGGTTTTGGCTTTTCACGGGGGTTTCAGGAACGTAATTCCCGGGAAAAACACGGGATTACTGTAGTTGGGATGAAACTCCTGTCAATTATACAGGAAGCAGCTAATGACAGTATGACATAATTGGTACATCTCTCCAATTACAAATCTAACCCTCAGAGAAGGGTCTAAGGGATGAAGGTTTTCCACTTAAGACTCAGAAATAAGCGAGTCCTTGTGCTGCAGGAGTTTACATACACAGGCATTACCTTTGTCCTCAGCCATACCGGATTTCAAGTACCAAGCTTGTCCAGCTGAACTCAAGAAAACCCAAGGGATAGACATAAATAAAATATAATATAAAACTATAATATAACAAAAATGAAGAGGATGGGTGTGTATATATGAGAAATGCACGAGTTGAGGTGGTCAAGGCCCAGGGTATAGCTACGGCACCGATTCACCAGTCCGCCCGCCTCGTATGTTATTACTTGTAATGAAACTAAAAAAGTTGTGAAAAAATAATATAAAACTATAAAATAAGAAAAATGAAGAGCATGGGTATGGTTATGTGGGAAGTGGATGTGTCGAGGCATTGGGTTATGGTTGTATGTAACTATGTGGTGGCACTTCCTCTCAATGTGGCATGGCACACACAGAGTCAGCACGGCACAGTGGGAGCCACACGTCTGTGAGTCGGCTGATGAGAATTTACACAGTGGCATTCCCTAATTCTTATTACTCTCATTAAATATTAAGGTCCTCGAACGCGGATTCCCCTAACACGCCGTTTTCGAGGAACCTAATCCCTGCATTGGAGGAGGGCTTACTATATTGAAGTATGCGTGTATATATATATATACTGTTGAGATATATTTGTAGCCTCGCACTTTATAGCCGAGTCAGTGAAATGCTACTATGACCACATAAGTTGGTATTGGTTGTCCTAGGTGCAGGCTCCCGCTGCTTAAGAATCAGACAAAAGAGTAGGCTTTGTGTGAAATACAGCAAAGCCCTTGTGGTGCCATGGTAGCGGTCCCTGTTCACAAGCAGAGGTCCCGGGTTACACGAACTTTCCCCCATACTAACTGGATTTTGGTCGTGTCTTTCCAGGTTGGGGATACACGTGTTCTGTGCTGGACCCCAGTTCAGTTTGCAAGGGGGTTCAAATTAAGTGGAAAGATTCACCAATGCCTGGAAAAATTCTGTAATGTGCAATTTTTTTCCTGGCATGATAAAATTTGTCTCCATACTCAAAAATCTCTCAATCCCAGAACAGCTCTGCACCAATTATTCCAGCTAATGGGGATATCACTACAGTATATATATACTTTTAAAGGTTTTACCCATTTTGTACTTTG